TTACTACTAAATTTTACTTTACTTAATACATATTACTTGCATATTATTTGAAATACTATTTTACTTATTCATAATGCTTATCTGTTTCCTATTTTGACTCTCCCATAAGGCTATGCTATTCCATTAGGGCAGGAATTATTTTGTAAGTTTGTTTACTGATCAATTACTCGCTCATATAATAATACCTGGCACATATGGAAAAAGCCCAAATGTCCATTGATTGATGAATGGATAAAGAAGATGTGGTATGTATATATACAATGGAACATTACTTAACAATCAAAAAGAACGAAACCGTGCCATTTGCAACAACATGCATGGAATGAGAGTGTATTATGATAAGCACAATAAGTCAGTCAGATAGAGACAAATAGCTTATGATTTCACTCATGTGGAATTTAAAAAACAAAACAGATGAACACAGGGGAAGGGAAGGAAAAATAAGATAAAAACAGAGAGGGAGACAAACCATAAGAGACTCTTAAATACAGAGAACAAACTGAGGGTTGCTGGAGAGGTGGGGAGGGAATGGGCTAAACAGGTGATGGACACTGAGGAGGGCACTTGTTGGGATGAGCACTGGGTGTTGTCTATAAGTCATGAATCACTGGGTTCTACTCCTGAAACCAATACTACACTGTAGGTCAACTAACGTTAATTTAAATGAATAAAATTTTTAAAAAGTGTTAAATGATTACATAAATGAATACTCCATGTGTAAGTAATCCTGCATATACATACATATAATAGTAAAGAACATTCAGTATTAGTATGAAGAACATTAGCTTCTAGTTAGATAAATGTGAACACGAATCTAGGCTCTGCCACTTACTGGTTAGGTCATGAAATCTGGATTAAAGTACCCAATTGAAAGGAGACAAAAGTCACTCTAGGCTGAGAGATCCCAGAACGCTAAGATGGGAAACTTCTTGGCACTGATGGAGGACAGCAAGTGATTTAATTTGGTTGGAATAAAGAAAGAAAACATGAAATAGGCTACTGTGAAATAAGCATGAAAGTATAAATAGATAATAGATCATGGAGTTCCTAGATGAAATTTAAGAGAATAGACTTGTTATAAAGGCAAAAGGAAGTGAAAAAAGTTTTGTGAGTGATATTACTAAAGCTGTTAATATGGAAATTTAATCTGATTTAGAGGGGACTAAGAAAAAGATAGTGATACTGACTGCAAAGGTATTTCTGTAATCTACAAGACATGTATTGAGGGCCTGAACCAGAGGACATAACATCAAGGACATAACTTGATGGAGCTATGTTGTAAAGAATGAATTGACTCTGCATGTGTCTTTACTGAATATCAGATCAATATAGAGACCAAAGAGTATGTCACACATTTAAGTCTCAATCACTGCTAACATTCTCACTTACATAACAAAAAAGGGCAAGAAACAGGTTTGTGAGCAATGAAACCAAATTCACTTCGGAACATGCTAGGTTTAAGAAATCAGTGCACATCAAGGTATAAATATATCCCCAAGAGTTGAAAATGAGTTGGAGATGTGGTTGTAACTCAAAAGATATTGGAAGTGGGTGAAAACACAGATAACAGTGGTCATCTGCATACAGCGTGAAGCCAGGAAATTATATCATATTGATAAGAGAGAGTGTGTAATAAGTGGATCAAGAGACCTTATACAACGGGAGTTACAAGAGGAGAAATAGCCAGATAATGAAAGAGATAGAGAAGAGAGATAGAGAAGAACCTGATGAGTCTAGAGGCTGTGAGAAGTTATTTCAATTACGGTGAAAAGCCTGAAAGCTGAAAAGATGACATTTGATTTGCTGATGAAGTGTAATTGCTGAATAAATAAATGAATAAACCATAGACTATTCTACAGAAGGTAATAAATGAAAGAAAGAGTCACATAACAATATATGAAATACGAACAAGATAAAGAGGAGTGATGTGTTTGGGAAGAGGTATTATGCAGACGGGTCTAAGTGTCCAGAGGAGGTTTAAACAGGGTTAGGTGCCAAGAGATAAAGAAACTGAAGGCGAAAAAGATACTGGGTATTTCTTTTTGTTTTTTCATTTTTTTAATGTTTATTTACTTTGACAGAGAGGTAGAGACAGAGCATGAGTGGGGGAGGGGCAGAGAGACAGGGAGACACAGAATCTGAAACAGGCTCCAGGCTCCGAGCTGTCAGCAGAGAGCCCGACGTGGAGCTTGAACTCATGTGCAGTGAAATCATACCTGAGCCCAGGTGAGACGCTCAACCGACTGAGCCACTCAGGCACCCCAAGATATTGATTATTTCTGATATAAAATTAGGAGTAGAATGAGAGACATGATCAAACTCATAAAAATAGGAATTAAGTATAACCATTAAAAAAATGTCCCCCATCCAAGGATGGATGGCAGGAAAGTGTTACAATAAAGGAAACCTGGGGTAAAATAAAGGAAACCAGTTAGTATTTCTTCTTGGCAAATTATGAGAAAAACGCATTTACAGGTAGGAATCCTAAGGTAGGTCAGACTGCCTGACCCCAACAGGTTTGCAAACTACAAAGGTTATAAATCACATTTTTCAAGTTTAGGACAGATGGGCATAATTGATGTTTCTAATATATCAGGAACTTTTAAGATAATTCATAAATTTTATGTTTTCCATCGGGGACAGTCAGCCACATAGCTCGCTCTCCTATTACGGAAAACTTCACCCCCTTCTCCCTAATGCAACTCCCTAATGGAGTCCAGTCTAGTCTGTCTTGAGTTCATTTGAAGTAAATCAGACACTACTTGTAGGGGACTGTACGGGCTCAGCCCCTCTGAGCAACACTTCAGAAAATTTTTTTTCTTAGTACATAGTTAAGATATAAACTTATCAAACCTAACTATGCGTAACATCATCTTCTGATGTGCTTCCTATAGAAACAGGCAGAACATATCATTCCTCACCAACTATGAATCATGCTTCTTTTCTAAAGGATACCATTAAGTTTATTTCAATGGCCTAGGCTAAATAAAACAGGTAAGTGAATTTGTTGCATATTTTTATTTTATGACACATTATGTATTGTGTCAAATTTATACAAAGGTAGAATGAACAAACAGAGTCTAGCAAAATTAGGTCCACTTATAATTACTTCATTAAGGAGTCATACCTGAGCAGGGCCTTAATGAGCTGGTAATGAGGTAAAAATGTGCTGCCAGGAGAGGCACTGGAGAAAACCTTCTGGAAAAGGCAGCTCAATAAAGTGATAATGAAGAGGAAAAAGGACTTATCTCTTTGTCTTGGCTCAGGCTCCTTTATTTTAGGAGCCACTCCTTTTCTTTATTTCTTGGAGGTTTCAATGGGAAGGTGGTGAAGAAAAGAGTCTAGAGAGTCAGGCAGTGAGGAGGGTAGGAGAAAGGAGGAGGAAGAAGAGAAAGAAAAGGGCAGATACACTGAAACTTAAAATGGGGGTCAAAATAGCATCTCCTATCTCTAAGAAATGTTATAAGGATTTGATTAGTTCACATAATATGCATGCTTGGCATATGGCAACACTCAGTAATGTCTGCCAGAACTATTTTTATTTACTAATAATGAGAAAACTGATTAAGTTTCTTATTCAAGATTATACAACTAACCTTTGTAGAAACATGGATGGGAATTTAACTCGAAATGAGTCTGAGTCACACAAATGTTCTTACCCAGTCTCCTTTGTTCAGCTTTGCCAGAAACCTAGCCAAGGATAGAGGGCATAACTGCGCCCTGAAATATGCTTCCCTGGTTAAGAATTTTAGCCTTACTCATAAATTAACTGTGCAAAATAATCACTAATAATCACTAATTAAATACAACCACTATTTAAAAAATTCGATGAGCCTCAAAAATGTATTTTTCACCACACAGGATCAGCTCTATGATTTCTTAATTCCCATTCATAAACTACACTAATTCCTCTTCTTAATTCCCATTCAAAACTACATTTTTTTTTTAATGTTTATTTTTTGAGACAGAGAGAGAGCGTGCGCAAGCATGCAAGCAGGGGTAGGGGCAGAGAGAGAGAGGGAGACACAGAATCTGAAGCAGGCTCCAGGCCTGAGCTGTCCGCACAGAGTCCGATGCGGGGCTTAAACTCACAGATCTCGAGATCACAACCTGAGCTGAAGTTGGTCACTCAGCCATCTGAGCCACCCAGGCGCCCCAAACTACATTTTTGATAAAAGTCACTTTCTTAAGAACTTTTCAAATTGTCTATTAAACAAAGTAGTTTTCTTCTAAAGAGAAATTCTACGAAATCACACAAGTCTAACACCTTTCATTTCCATGCTCTAACATATACCATGCTCTAATTTGTTGTATTTTTAGGTTTCCTACAACACTACAATAATGGAAGACTCCAATGAGCAGACTCTTTATGTGGGAACTATTAAATGGTGCATAGAATCTGACCTGCTTTGGGTGTGACTGACTTTCTTGTATAAATAATACAGAGCATGTTATATACATGTTTAAATCAGCAAAATTAAAATGTATCATATGAAGAAGCTTATAGTTATATTTTTCTGAAATGGAAAATAAATACATTTTTCCAGAATGAAAATCTAATAAGAACAGCTATACAGAGTATCTAATTCCTTTTGGTATCATATATCTAGAAACGTTTCCCCAAATAGTGTGACAAGAAAATTTCTTCCATTTTTCTACTCTTTTAAAAATTACATATATAAGCCTTCAATGATGTTTGCATTTTTGGGTAACCATTGGGAACTTTTATAAAAAGAGAACCTTACGGGTAACTATATAATGAAAGCACACATCACTATTCTAAGAATGCCCATGCATGAAGAATCAACATATATTACACCTAGAGAAGTCTCAATAACAAAAGAGCATCACGTGACAACATCTAATACAACTGGGAACAATGAAACAGCTCCTGATGAAGGAGAAAAAAGGCACTGTAAAATTCAAACAAAAGCCATGTTAGCTTATCTTGGATGAGGAAATTCTTTGGTTTGTAGAACGGAGAGTAAATGTTGACAGACCTGTGAAGGAAGTGGGCTCCTTGTGGGGTCAGAGGTGGTGACATAAGCAGCCTGTGTGTAGGCATAGCTCTTGAACCGAGGCTTAGGAGAGGAAGGAGTTCGTTCATAGCCCTGTGCTAGACTGACTGTGATCTGCAGAGTAGGGTTAGGGGGAAGGGGACAGAGGGGAGGAGGAGACATCATAAGTAACCCTGGAAGGAATGTTTTTCAACACACTAGAGAAACAAACATTAAATGGAAACAGTGAGGTGAACTGTCTAATTTGAAATGCACATAGTTGGATTAGAAACTGGTATACTCCAAGAATTCTGGTGCTCAACGTCATGGTAATCAGGGAAGGTATGAGAGTGGGAGTCAACTCTAAGGATTCCATGCTGACACAACTCCAGCACTAATATGGGATGGTGCTCTTCAATCTGGCAAAAACAGGCACCCAAAAGCAATATTCTCTGAACTCCAAGTAAACAAAACCAGAATTCATCAGGTCAATATCCTGGAAAGAAATGGAGCTGTCATAACCTAAATATAGAACTATCTTGGTAGAGTGAAACAATTAGGCCTAAGATTAGCTTTCCACGCCTTCAGCAGAAATTTTGATAAAAGGCTTTTTTAAAAAGGTTTCTTTTTAAAAGGTTTTCTCATCATTGCATGTGTCAAAGAAAGTAAAAGAAAACACCGCAAATAGCCAATACTGGGAGTAAGAACAAGCCATGTAACAAAAGAATCCTACTAGATTCTGTACAATAATAAAAATCTTTGTAAGTATTCTCCATTTAACTTTTATTTAAAATATTTTGAACTACTTTTATCAAAAACGTTACCTTAAGTAATGAAAATTTGTTAATGCATCAGCAGGTGGCCACTAAAAATAAGAAAGTATTCTTAGAGTGCTTGCCATTGCTCTTGCTCTAGCTCTTTGTTCTCACATAGAAAAGTTTCATACATATATGACTTTGTCTTTTATTTTATTTCGTTTTACACAATATATTGTTTTCCATATTCTTATATATGCAATATATTGTTTTCCATATTCTTATAATATAGTGCCTATCAACAGCAGAGTATTTTTTTACTTAAAAATTTTTTTAATGTTTATTTATTATTGAGAGACATACAGAGCATGAGCATGGGAGGGGCAGAGAGAGGGGGAGACACCAGAATCTGAAGCAAGCTCCAGGCTCTGAGCTGTCAGCACAGAGCCCAATGCACAGCTCAAACTCACAAACTGCAAGATCGTGACCTGAGCCAAACTCAGATGCTTAACCGACTGAGCCACCCAGGCACCCTGGCAACCTGGCAGAGTATTTTAATAATGTGCTTTGAAAATAATATTATAATCCACTCTATCAGTTAAAATTTAGAAGGTTTACAGAGTTTATCCATCTACTCATAGATGCCTATAGATACCTATATGTAGATGGATGAAGAAACAGACACACACACACACACACACACACACACACGCATTGTGCTATGTAGACACGTTTGTGTGTATATCCATAGATATAATAGATAGGTACATGTATGATGGCTAAAAATGCATATACAATAGAAAGTATCACTGATATCAGTTACTCTTTTGATACTTTACCTGTTGAGAATAGTGCATTTGATGATGTAATTGAAAGTGTTCCTCTCTAGTAACTTTTGATGGCCTTGGCAACATTTCCACTTCCTGGATGGCTTCAATGCTCACTTGTTGAGGCAAAACTTGGAAGAGTGATGTGACATACATTAAGATGGACTTCTTATCTGGATAAGTGGTAGCAACATCTGTAAGCACATTAACACCACACATCAATTTTTGGTTTCTATATTTGAGTCTCTGAAAGGGGAATGAACAAATCAATGTTACAGGAAGAAGACACATTAATGAGCACTCGATTGCCCATGAATGTCCTCCAGAGACTAATTAGAACATGATAATCAGGCCTAAATTGTCCTTCCAATTTGGCAGACCAATGAGAGGAGCACTAAAGTTAATTTCTTTTCCTTGTTCACATAAAAACTTCATTCCGTAATACTTTTTCCTAAGTCAAATTGCCAAACTAGCTCATCTAAGAGACTGGTTTTCATTAGATAAGAAACACAAATAAAAGATTCTATCTTCCTTTCCATGGAAAGCTATATTAACATGTCAATTACAATAGTGCATTGGTAATTACACAATTATACAAAAGAGCTTAATGCCTTGGCGTCCAGTAAAGAAAGCTTACACCATCTAATCAAATTTTTGCTGGTGATTAAGTATGTAAAATGCGAAATATGTCTCTGTGTTGAAATGAACCATGTATTTCCACAATAAACATAAAATAAAACAATATACCATATGTATATGATTTGTAATATTCCTTAAGTATATTAAAAACGTGTATTTACATTTTGGTACATCTGTTAGAGTCAGATGTTACCTTCCTTCTCACACTCCAGAGATAAATTTAAAAGTCCTTCACATAAAAGTTGATCTGACATTATGTCCTTTGCCACATCCAGGGAATTGAAGAAACCCAGCATTTAAAGTCAATAATAATTTGTAATCACACACATAGTAAGTGGCAGGTCCTTCAAAAGGTTCTTTTGCTACTTGGCATTACAATTTACCCACTGCGCTCATTCCAGGGAACCAAGATGTAAAAATAATCCTTTATGTGACGTGTATCATTAATCCCAGAAGTGTTAAAACATAAATCCTGGCGGGAGGCCAAAACAACTACGGAGCAATGTGCCAGGCATTTTTCTTGCCATAAATTTATCTTAGCTAGCATGAAAAGATCCGTTTTAAGTTAAATATGTATATTCTGGTCAGGTATTCTGATTGTGACTAAAAAAGCCAACAGTCAAATCTCGAGTCCACTAACATAAATGTAAGTTGAATAAGTCACTTCGTCCATGCCTTCACAAAAATCAGGAACATGATTAATTAGAACAACTCTTTTTAAAATATTTTTTAAAAGAATTACAGAAGAGGAAAAATTTAACTAATATTCCGGTCTGCCTCTATCCATAGTATAACACGGTACTTCTCAATTTGTAATGTGCATATGAATCACCTGGGGATCTTTTTAAGCTCGGAATCAAACTCAGTGGGTCAAGGGTGGAACCTGAGGTTTTGCATCTCCAATAAGGTTGCAAGTGATATTGAGGCTGCTGGCTTGAAGACTATACTTTCAGTAACAAGGGTTGAAAAAAATTACACAAGAAGCAGACTGCTTTATTATCTGCCACTTCATTGTTTTGCCTTTTATTTTTTCCCTTAAAGATACTTACTGGGCACTTAAATGCATAAGGCTGGGAGGTACAAAGTTTTATGGTACATATTCTTTGCTCCTTATTATAATTTAATTATTAACCACCAGATGGTGAAAGTAAGTTTTTGGGGCGCCTGGGTGGCCAAGTCAGTTGAGTGTCTGACTTCGACTCAGGTCACGATCTCACGGTTCATGAGCTCGAGCCCCACATCAGGCTCTGTGCTGACAGCTCAGAGCCTGGAGCCTGCTTCAGATTCTGTGACTCCTTCTCTCTCTCTGCCCCTCCCCCGCTTGCACTCTTGTCTCTCTCTCAAAAATAAATAAAACATTTTAAAAAAGTAAGTTTTTGCCAGTAATTTTTTAGGAAGAACCAGAAATCTTACTAACTTAGCTTTGAAATTCCAAAGACTAAAATCTCCCCTTCATTTGATAACTTTTTCAAGTGTTCATTGTATGGTGGATACCACAATTCTTCACCACATTTTGAAACTCAAAAATGTTTTCTTTCTTCTCACTATGAACTAGTCAGTTTTATCTGTAATGAGCATAATTTAGAATTCTATTTTTAGTGTATTAAATACAATTATGCTGTGAGAAAGACACTGGATCCAAAAAGGTTGATCTATGTGTATTTACTGCTATATGATACATAAAAGTGTGCATGTATATTTTCAGCCTCAAATATATGTTATGCTAAAAATAAAGGTAAAAATCAATCAGGAATTATTTCTATTACCACAAGCAAATGTCAAAAATTATAGTACATTTTATCTACACAAAACATCTTTTGGATGAAAGCAAATATTCATAAATATCAATCATTATAATAAATATATACTGTTTAACCACGTTATTGACATTTTTGCCCCAATATATTACCTTCCCATCTCTGAGGTTATGTGGATTTAGCTGTACCAGCAGATGGAATCCACTATTTCTTTTCTTAAAGAAAGGAACTTAGATATTCCAAAATATGTTAATTTACTTCAACATATATGTACTAAGGACCTATTGTATTTATAATATTATAATAGATTATACAGGAGATTAACAAGACAGAGAATTCATGCATTCTGCTCACAATTTGCAATAGTTCAATAAATAAATAATGGGAAAAGTACAAAATAATTACATTGCTGAACAGAATTTAAAATGTGTTCCTCTGACTGGTACAACCAGTGCTTAAATATGTTCAGAGAAAGGAAGAAATTATATACTAGTAGGGGACCAGAAAAGTCTTATGACTAGGACACTGAAATAAGTATGTATAGGAATTCATTGGCTAGAAACGGGGGAATGAGAAAGGTATTCTAGGCAGTGGGAAAGCACAAGCAAAAGTGCACAGGTAAGAGATTAGAAACATCCCAGGCATAGTGCCTTCAGGTATCTTAGCCAAAGACAGGAGAATAGTGAATAATAAGATACAATGTGTACGTTATATGTGAAACGTAGAGAGATCATCCATAGCACAGTAGAAATTTTGACCTTAGTTCAATAGGTTGGACAGTAACTGACTACTTTTGACCAAGAGTGTGACAGCACTGATTTTTTTTGTAAAGTAAAACTATTAAATGTAGAATGGGGTCAAGGAGAAAAACACCTGGAGGGAAGCTGGAAGCTAGGACCCAATCCAGATAGGAGGTGTTAGAGAACTAAACAAGACTTTGTAATGAAAGCAAAAACAAACACACACAAAAAAAAAACGCATGGCAGAAATTCTAAGATAGGTCCAAAACAACTTCATTGGATTTCAAATCATTTACTTAGCAGTCTTTGAAAATAATTATATATAAAATTCTGTCCTAAGCCCTGAGGGTACAAAGATGAATAAACTGAGAATAAAATGGAGGAGGACAGGAGGGAAATACTTGCTCTGTAGTCATAGTAACAAGTAGCCCCAACACAAGTTTCAGACTCATTTAATCAATTAACAATTACCTGACTAGATGGTCTTGACTGTGCTTCCTCAAGCCAACATTGGCAATCCCTCCCTTTTGAAAGTTGTCTGATCAGAAGTGAAATCACTCCAATGAACAAAATTCTGAATGCAATCCAATTAACAGTGGTCTCACCTGAATAACCAACCATGCTTCTAAACGTGAGATCAACCTATTCCCATCTCTGAATGCTCACAGATGTACACCTCTTGACCTCCCAGTTTTCCCCCAAACCCAAGAAAACTCTATTTTGAGATACTGTGGTTGACCAGCATAGTTCCCTCTTATTTAAGTAAGTGATACATTCACCTTTGTGTTTTCATTTCAAATACCGAGCAATGATTTCATCATTTGATAAAATTCAATGGATGCAATTCACTTGTAAAGTTAAAATTAACAGGTTTTTTTTTTGTTTTTTTTTTGTTTTTTTTTTTTTTTTTTGAGGAGAGTGTGATAGAATGAAAGAATGAGCAATTCTGAATCTGGATTCGGAATTTTAAAAATCTGTACCTAAATACTTATATTTGTAAAGCAAAACCCTTAACACCATTTATTTCCATTTCATCATCTGTGAAATAAAAACCAGAGTCCCAATCTCATCATGGTGTTGTGAAGGTCAAATGCAATAATGCTTAGAAAATACTGTAAACTTAATTAGACCTTGATATTGTTGCTATATTGCAATTGTTGTTTTTTGTGTTACTAATACAAAAACAGATCTAGTTGTAGGAGACCATTAGTACTATTAACGGGAAGCCACAAGAAGCTGGTAGGAAGGAAAGGTCATTCATCATTTATTAAATATTTACAAAGCAATTATTATGTATCATAGAATATGCTTAGCCTTTGTTATATTACAGGTATTCAGGGGATGAGCCACCCAACAAATAATTAGGGACTGAGCAATGTATGAGAAACCAAAAGAAATTTCATGACTTGTGATGATCTTCACTCAGGATAATTGCACGGAGGCCAATGTCTGGGACTTTGTGAGCACCTAAATATTTGTCGAGAAACTGAATATAGTAGTAAAAGCCATAGAAATTGATGAGAATTGGGTAAGACAGCAACTGACGTACAACATAATGTTACAGATAATGAGTACCACAGTATTTGAGGAGGGTGAGAATGATGGGATGTGATTTACATTTTTTTTTATTACAAGACATTAAAATGTATGAAGTGAAAGAAGTGCCTGTACTCCCCAAAAAGAACTTACAATTTGATGAAAGTAATCTTTGTACTAAAACCCTACTATGTAACTGTTTCATGGCTGCAAACATTTAAATTAATAATTTCTAACTTAATCTTTAAAGACATCTCAGAATCAAAGTGTTGAGAACTGATAAATACTGCTAGAATGTTTTATTTCATGAACAATAACACTGATTCTGATGAGTGTTTCTATACTAATCAGAATTTTGATATTGATGGATATAATGGAACAAATAAATCATTCACTGAAATTCCATTGTTTTTCAAATGAGGAAACTGAACTTCACACTGGTTTGATGGCAGGTTCAAAAGCTAGTCAGAATCAGAACTAGAACCCAGTCCATGCATCAGACTTCTTAGTACCTTACCTTCA